CGTAAAAACACAAAGGGGCTTTAAACTTCTCTAAAACCAGGAAGATGGAACCAGGGCTAGAACACAAGTTTCTTGAAGGGAAGGGGTGAGAGGAGGTGTATAAGAATGCAGAGGGGACCTGAGGCTGGAACAGAGCTGAAAGCCAAGGGAGAGTGTGTCTGAGGGCCAGGGGGGCAGCTGGTCAGTGCTGGAAGCTCTTCCCTTGTCATCCCATCCCTTTGATCTCCTTGTACACTTCCTGCTCCTGCCCTAGGTCCCTTGACCACGTTTGTCCTGAGTGCACCAGACACACCAGGCCTGGCAGAGTATGGGGTCTAGAGCTCTTGGACCAAATATGGGGGCAGAACCAGACACTGGTGCTGTAAGATCTTGTAAACATTTGTGTATAAATTCTTATTTACAAATAGGGGGTGTGGTACCCAGAGTGAGGCTCAATGTGATTAAGACCATACAACTGTTTTGGGGGAGCTGGAATCTGTCCAAGTATAGGACCAGGTGGCACTAGGACTGTCTGGATGTGGTCCTAAGGCCTGGGTTAGCCTTGGAAGTTGCTTAAAAAATTCATTCATTCTGACTTCACTTGAGTTCAAATATTCACATACACAAGTACAAATTAAATAAATAATTAAATGATTATTCATGTCTCTATTTTCTCATAAATAAAATTAGAAAAAAGCAGAACCTATCTTATAGGGCTGCTGTAAAAATTATTTCTTTCTGCCATGTTTAGAGCATATATTCAAAAATGTTTATAGATAAGGATATTTAATTCTATAATATTTTGTAGAGGAAAAAGAAGCTGAATGACTGGCTGATTAATGTCTTTGTAACACTAGTTCCTAAAGATTTCAAAAACTGAGAAGAAAATTATGTAACACCAATTTGTTGGAGTTATTTTTGGATAGGTAAGTCTCTTTTTAGACAGTATCAATTGTAGCAAGAAATTAGTTTGGAAATAAACACTGATATTATTATGTTAGTTATGTTATCTCTCTTATTTTTCAAGATTTGTAAGATTTTTTCTGTTCTATCTTTATAATTTTCCTAATCAAATGTATAATTAAAGAAAAAATTCATTCTGGATAAGAGGAAGAAATCCAGGGGAGAAATGAGTACAAAACATGTCTGCTTCTCTTCTAGTGCTTGCTTCCTTCTCCAATTGTTGCTACACATCTATGAAGGAAAGGATTCCCCAGCAGGCAATCAGGTGTTACAGAAACACCAGCTCCTTCTGCCCCTACAAAGATGTTGTAATGTGAGTGTAGCCCCTGGGCAGCCCATCCTTCTCCCTGCAGAGAACAGAAACCTGCCTGTCCGGAATTAGCAGATGCTAGATAGTGATGCATCCCCAGTTATTTATTCCCCAGCTTTTATTTATTTATTTATTTATTTATTTATTTATTTGTTTGTTTGTTTGTTTGTTTGTTTGTTTGTTTGTTTAATATTACTGCACAATGGAAGAAGGGAGGGGTCACACTTAGTTCCTGCTTCTGGATTTGCTGTAGCCTTGGGGGATTTTGTGTAGGAAACTCTTTTTTCTATGGCTCATTGTCTGGGTACTACTCTGCCCTCCTTATCTATGAAGTGGGGTACATGTGATAAAGATGACACGGGTGACTAGGGCTGAAATCGCTGAAGATCCAAAAACACTGATAATCCTGAACACCCTATGCTCAAACACTGAATCCTGAACACTGAAAAATCCTGGGGGCTGCTTCTGCAGTCCCTTATATTTCTTTTCAGAGTCTCCACCCCAAAATGTGATACTTTATTTGCATTTTCCCTGGAGCTATCTATCTTCACCAGCACCCCCCCTCCTGGGACACCATCTGTAATAGTTTTTGGCTTTAGCCACCGGTTACAATATGAAGCAAAAGTAGGTTCCCAGAGCTTTAGAGCCATCAGGGGCCAGAGCTTGATGAGATAGTTGACACATGTCATTCAGTATCTGTGAGGACTTTCATGTCTATTATTTCAGAAAACTGTCTCCAGACACACATTTATCATGAAAACTGATGTCAGGGAGTTAGAGGAATTTATCTAAAGCCAAGAAGCTCCTTAAAGGCAGACTTGCCCTGTAGTGTGGACAACTGCCAGGCATAGGAGATCATCAGAAAAGAAATAACACACAAGCCCACATATGTGTCCACACATATACATACACACAACAGCAAAACTGAGGGTCCCATATGCAACAGGGGAAATCACTGAGACATTCTAGGGCAGGAATTTTCATGGAACTAATCTTCACAGTGTCTGCAGCCTGCCCTGCCCCATGACACACCCAGGGACGCTCTTCAGGGATCCAGGAAACACAGTTTACTAACCTCTCCCTGGTGCTGTGTGCTGCTCCCAGTGAGCAGGTCAGGGGCTGTGCAATGGCTTAGTGCACAGGCCCTGAGAGAGCAGCTCAGGGACGTGGAGATGGGGCTTGTGTGTGGCACCCAGGGGGACTCAGCCCCTCCTTTGTCTCTACCCGCAGATCCCAGATGAAGGGAAACAGAGAGATCTGTTCCTCGAAGACAGAGAAATGGGTTCAGAATTACATGAAAAGGTTGCCATCCTGCTTTTGAAGGAAATGAGCGAATTGCTTTCCATCTGGACCCTGGAAACCAGTGACTTCACCTGCACCTGAACCCCAAAACTGATACCGATCCTTTTACCCTCTTTTACTGGATCATGAAGACTTTCTGATCCTAATAAGCTATACTGTTACACTTTATATATTTAAATTCTAGAACCATTGTCTCTTGCTTTCTTGTGTCTTTTGGGCCCCAGAGAGATTTGGGGGTGCAGACTTAATTGGCTTGGAGATACTGGGACCAAGGCTGGAGGATGGTGAAGGAGAGAGACATATTGAATCTGGTGCCAGGAGACTGATTTCTTGTAGTTCAGAGCTAATAAATGAGTCATAACTCTCAGCCTCTTGCCTCTGTCCTGAGGCGGAAGGTCTGATTTGGAATGTGGTGTTGATACTCCGCTTACGGGCTTGGTGGCCTGGCAGCCACAGTGAAGCACAAGGCTGGTGCTAGACTTTCTCTTTCCCTGTTCTTCCCAAAGGGCTTGGGGTGATGTCATTCAAAATTTACTTCTGCCCTGGTCAAGAGCCTCTGTGAGGCCATCTGCCTGTAAGACGGTGCTAGCCCTATTTTACAGGGGAGGTGACTGGGTACTGGAGGAAAAACCACAGGCATGTGGATACAGAATGAATCTGTATCAGATTACATTGGCCTTAGGCCATAGGGTGCTGCCTCGATGGCCAGAGCTCTTTACTGTGCCCCAGGTTGCCAGGTGACTGGCTGGCACAGCCTGGGACCTCTCTCTACCACACAGATCTGGCAGAATGGGTTAGCAGGAGCTTCTAACAGAGATGCCAACACATCTCATCCAGAGGAGGCAAGGCATCCCGGTAGAGCAGGGCAATGCTCAGGGACCTATGGGAGAGGAGGTTCTGTCCCTTTGAAAAGGACAGTCCCAAGTTCAACTGTGTCATTTGTGACTCTAGGGAGATTAGCAAGGGAGGGGAGTCATTCTGGGTCTCACTGGGCTTCCCCCTTTGTCAGGTCAGTGGCTTTAAAGAAGAAGGTCTAGTGTCCTCTGTCCCAGGACTGCTCTCTCTCCCCAGCATTCAGTATGTCACATACCTGGCCCTTTCTTAAACTGCCTCCTCCCTTCACCACCATCATCTCCCTGCCTTGCCCTCTCCCTCTGCCTAGACCACTGCCATGGGCTGTTCTCAGTCCTTGCCAACTCCATCCTGCCCAGGCCCACAGGCTGCACTTCCTGGTCCCCCTGATGGCTCTAAAGCCGTTGGCACCTCCTTCCTGCTTCAGACCTGACTCCAAACTCCCCATCTCCATTCTTTTATACCTTCCAGTCCCTCTATACTTAACCTCCCTTCCAAATATCTCCAGCTATGCCATTCCAGACTCTGGCCACATGGAGATGTGCTGTCCTGGCACTATTTCCCTCACCTCCTCTGAGAGACTCATTCTTCAGACTGTGTTCCCCCACACTCAGGATCAATTCTGCCCAATTCCCTCCTTTTTGGTCAAGTCTGTTGCTCAGACAGGCTTAGTCAAATAGTTTTCTCTGGGGATCAGGTGTATTGAAAGTCTGTATTGCTCTAGTAGGGAGGACTGTGTGGAGCAGGGAGGCATGAAGGCAGGGAGACCAGCTAGAAGCCAATGTTGGGGATGGGGCCAGTTTTGAAGAACACTCTGGGCTGCTGAGCTACACCTGAGACTCATATAAACCCAGGCTAGTCAGATAGGTAGGGCCCCTCTACTTCTAAATTCCTCTAGCTCCCTGAGTCATCCCCATGCACCCTAAAACACTCCCTACTTGTTGAAAGTGTCCTCCCATCTCAAAAAAAGAGAGAGAAATCACCTATGTCAGATATTTAAAGAAAATGTCTTGTCTGCAAAAAGTAGTCCTAAGATTGCACTCATCTTCCTGCAACCTCACAGTCAGCAGCCTCACATTCCCAGGAGCTCTCCTCCCTGAATGACAGTAGCCCTTCTTCTCCATGATCTTACCACCCCTAGGGTGTAGGTCAGTCTCAGCATGGTTGCCCATATTTCATAGGGAAGAAATTTGGACTCACAGACAGAAGCTAACTAGCTCAAAAACTTGCTTTAAAAAAATAAAGTTCATCATTGGGCCTCCCTGGTGGCACAAGGGGTTAAGCACAGTACTACGCAGCTGTCTGCAGCCTCTGCAGCATGAGTTTGATCCCCAGCCAGCCAGGGAGCTACCCACATGGCACAGCAGACCTCTCCTGCCTCACCTGCTGCTCCCCTCAGCAGTGTATTTCAGTCAGTCTGCCTGTTTTGTTCCCCACTCTGTCTCTGGTGAATTCTCTTACCCCCTGTACCTCTGTCCTATACCCCAGTTCTTCTATGCATAAATAAATAATTCTTTAAAAATAAATGAAGTTCATCAACTTTCAAAATAAACACATCAAACCAGCAGCAATTCCAATAATATTAAATATTATTTAAGACATACGTGTTTTACAGAAATCATCTTATTTGAAAATTACAGTAAAATTAGTCCTAGAGGTAGATGGGAGGCTGGTGGAGAAGGAGTCATTTCTCGAGCTGGGGCTTGGACTGAGTGGGGCTGGAGGAGTTGACGTCTTCAAGGCATGAGATTTTCGCTGCAGGTATTTCACACCATCCTGGACCCACTTGTCCTTGGGGCTGGCACAGATCTCCCTGGCTAGTTTGGTTGTGAAGCTATAGATGGAAGAGCATAGGAGGCACCATTAGAGGGTACGCTTTGAAATTTTTACCCAAGAGATGACTCACTGGACTCTAAAGCTAGCTTGTCGCACCTGGTGACTAGGAGGAAGCCTCCCTGGGACGGAAGGAAGGAGGGGTGTGGAAAGAGGGGTGTGTGGACCATCTCCTCTGGTCTTGCTTCTACTGGAGAAGGGGGCCTGGCTCCTGCTAAAGCAACAGGAAGTGCGAGCAGACACTCATCCAGGGAGCAGGGTGGGCAGGTTGACTTGGGGAAGGTTTAAATTGTAACAATAGAAAGATCTGGATTCTACTGTTGAATAGAATCTTATCCTCAGAGTTTTAGATCCTAGATTAGTCTGAGAACAGGGTGGGGGAGGATCCAGGAGTTGGGTAGAGATATGAACATGAGCATCATTTTTCTACCTACATGACAGCATCCTGGGCGCACTGCATGCTGGTGAATCGAAAGCTCTTCAGTCTCTGCAAAGGGATCTTCTTACTTTGAAATGTGAAACAGCAAGTGGGCACAATTCTGGAGGCGTCTAGAAATAAAGACACAAAAGACAGGCCTGTGAGAAGGTGCCAGGTTTTTTTCCACTCGAAGGCGGCAGGAGTGTCTGGAGGGGGAGGGAGAGGGAGAAGAGGATCTAATCCATCCCTTGTCCTGTGATCCTGCCCCGGGCCCTGGGTGGGACCTGCCACCTGGACTCAAGCTCTGAGGTCACCTCCCTCACCTGCTTGATGGACATGGTCATTAGTGATCAGGAAGCCCAATGTGGCAGGGCCTGGATGGGCCTCCTGATCTGCAGAGTGTGGGGAGAACTGCTGGATAAAGAAAAGTTTCTGGGGGCCTCTCCGGTGGTGCAGTGGTTGAGCGCTGGGTTGCGAAGCTGCCCGCAACCTCTGTAGGGCCGGTTCAATCCCCGGCGGCCGGTGGCCGAGGGTCCCAATGGCGCGCAGACCTCTGCTGCCGCCCGCTGCTCCCCTCAGCAGTGTACTTAGGTCCCTCTGCCTGCTCTGCTCCCCGCTCTGGCTCTGGTGAATTCTCTCACCCTCCCGCGCTTCTGACTGTACCCAGTGCTTGTATAAATAAATAAATAAATCTTAAAAAAAAAAAAAAATTCTGGGTTTGGAGTGCTCACCTTAGCTTAGGTTTTATTCTGGCTCTGCCATTAGGTGTGGGGAGGACTCCTGTCTACAATCTCACTTTCAGTTTTCTCTTTTAAAAATTAGATTTTAAAGTGCAATGCTAGAACCTTTGCTCTGAGAGGTTCAGAAGGTTCAGAGGTTCAGAGGTTCAGCTGCAAGCTTCCTAGAAAGAGAGAAGCACAGAAAGGGAGTCTGCCTTACCTGGCTGAGTGAGCACCTGGGTGCTGAGGGCAGCAGCTGTGAGCAGCAGGCACAGGAGGGCTGCGGAGACCTGCATGCTGGAGGGTGAGTAAGGATGGCAGCTGCAGCCTGAGAGTGATGGTTGCTGGGTTGTCTCAGCCCCTCTGCTGCTCTGGCTGGCGCCTCTGCCTGCTTTTATAGACAGCATCGAGGGTGGGAGCACCCAGGAGATCTTTGCCTGGACAAGGTCAGGGTCATGTCATGGTGAAAGGGACTCCGGAATCTGCGGAACTGGAGACTGGGCTGCCAGAGTTTTCCAGGAAATGCAAGAGGGAAGCTGTGGTGGCAGCAGGATAGGCGTTGTTTCCTCCCAGCTGCCCAGAGCACAGAGGAAGGAGTCCAGATGTGCTCCCCACCCCTACAAGTGGAAGTGAGCCTGGGGGCTAATCCCCAGCCTTGCTGTCTCCGAAATAACTCCATAAAGGAGGAGCACTGTGCTTAGGGCTCTGCAGGTTCTCTGCATGTGGTCCTCAGGAGGTCTGTGCCTTCATCATTGTGTCCCTATAGATGAGGATGCAGAGGTGCAGAGAGATGTTCCATTGGAAGTGGGTAGTGACACTGGAAGAGAAAGCCATTTATATATAAACGCCAAGGCAGTTTCAGACTTTCATTTAATTGGCAAAGTCTTTTCCAAGTCAGGGTTTACCTTCTACTTGAAACAAAGCCAGCTTCTGATTCCAGGGGCTCCTCACATGACTGATGCTGCCCCTTGTTCACGCTCAGACCCAGAGGGAGATGGTTTGAAAAGCTCTGATTTGTCTAGGTTCCTGGCCTTCAGGACCACTGGTTTTTAGAGCCATTGTGGAGAGGTGGGGAGCACTGAAAGGGAGCATCCTGTTGCTCCTGGTTCTGGCTTCCTCCTGCAGGGTATGTTCCTGAGTTAGTGCCTGGGAGTGCAGGAGGGGAGGGGGGACAGTGTTGGGTTCCCCACACTTACTCCTGACTCCTCAGCTTTGCTTATTTTTTGCGTCTTCCTGGAATACTCACCATCCCAGATGCTTTCCACTTTAGCAAAACAAGCCCTGATAAGAGTAAAAGAAAGGAATTAAAGAACTAAGATTAGTGGAACAGAAAAGAATACATACTAGAAACGATTGACAAAACTCAAAGTTGGTTTTTTGACAAGCCTATAATGAAGCTAAAACTATCTTGAGCCCAGTCATGAAAAAAAGGCAAAACATCTCACCAGCTGGGAGAGATGGGGATATTGCCATGGAGCCTGCAGACACAGAAGTAAAAACTTTATGCCTCCCATTTAATTTAGATAAAATCCATGAATTCCTGAAAAATATAACTTACCACCTTGCAAGAATGAAAAAAAAAATCTTTCTAAATGTAGTCAAGGAATTGAATCAATAATTGAAAAACATCCTGTGGGTGCTGAGGGATTGCATAGCTAGTTCCTCAAGCATTCTAAGAACCACTCATTTCACTCTTACATAATCTTTTCCAGATACATCAAAAGAGTGTATACTTCAACTCATTCTAACAATCTTGCGTGACTTGGATACAAAAATGATATCAAGATCCACATGAGAAAAGAAGAGCTGGCAAATGTCTCCCTCTGAAATCACATCTCACTTTTCTGTCCTCTTCTCTAGCTGGGAAACCCACCTGTGTGGCTCACAGCAAGGGGATGGCAGGTCTCTGGGTCTGATCAGATCTGGACACTGGAGTGCTCAGGGCATTGGAGACCGAGTGAGGTGAGTGAGGTGGGGGGCTTTCTGCTCTGCTGTCTCCACAGTGCGCAACCTGGATGCAGACCCACCCATGGTCTTTCACTTCTCTCCAGGTGGCTTCTCCCTAGCTCTTTCCATCCACATTCGTGGAATTGTTCTGTGTCCTTTCCCCTCAGACCCAGAGTCATACTGGTATTAGCCCCTGAGAGCTGAGGCATCCAGTAGTTTCTCCAGCCTGGCCCACATCTTGGTAAATAGCTTCTTTATCAGACCCTGCTCAAATAACTAGAATCGAAGTGTCATCTATTTCTTTCTGGCACTCTGACTGACATAAGTTTGGGCACCAGAAGGGGTGCCCACAAGTTCTGAAATTGGGCTACCTATACCCCCTGGGAGCACAGGAATGGAGATGCCAACATCCTGATGGCCAAGGTTATCCAAGGATGCAATGGCTGAAATTTAAAAAGTTTCCAGGTGATTCTGATGTGCACTAGAAATTTAAGAACACAATTTCGAAATCACATCACACTCCATGACCATTTCTTATCTACAATAAGGAGCTACCAGAGCATTCTCAAGGATGCTAACCTCCTCTGACCACAGTAAAGCTGGTCTGAACACCTGCACACACGAAGTGTCTCCTGGCCTCCCAGGAGTATGCTAGTGGGTGCTGAGCATCTTGCACGCTTCTAAATCCATTTTCAAAGATCTTCTTCCCTGAGCCTTTGCCTCTTCATAAAGTTCAGGGAAATTCGGCATTTCAAATTCATTAACTGCAAACTCCTTTTTCAAGCCTAGAAAGAACCAATCAAGCTAAATGAACATTAACATCACTCCCAGGAACTCATACAACCACTCACAGTCAATGCATGTGTCTAATTGGGCCCTGTACTCCCCCCTTGGGATTCACCCCCACACACGGGCCCCCGATTTTCTTTCAAAGGGAGTGGCTATCACACACTCCAAGCCATAAGGACTCCTGTCTTTCCTTCCGTGGACACCAGGACCTAACATCTCAGAGGGTGCTCAGGAGCCTGGGATCGGCAGCCAGCCAGACCTGGGTGTGAGTCCTGTATCCACCACTTACTGGTTTTGTGACTAGGAGCACATGGTCTCTTTGAATCTCAAAGAGGAACAGGTTGCTACTATAACCTCAGGGGGATGTGGTGAGGATCTAGTAATGTCTGGAAAGTGCTCAGCTCAGTGTGGGTCATTTCCACTTCATGAAGGCCCAGGTGATGCTAATGCTGCCTGTCTGGGAGGCATACTGGGAGAGCCCCTACTGTGAGGAGCTGGGTTTGGGTGTCAGTGGGAATAATAGGAACCAGGGCTGCAGAGGTCCAGCAGTAGTGCTTTTTAGGCATCAGAGACAGGTGGAAACAATACCCCAAGATGCCCCAGGTTGGGAGGGGTGATCAGAGCATTTTGCCCAGTAGGGATCTGCAGCAAAGATGAAGGGGTCCCAGCATGGAATGTGTGGGCTGCTTACTAGGGTGCTGTTGGCCCTGGGCAGGGGGGCGCTTACTTCCGTGATGAGAAATGGACTCCCAGTCTCTGTTGGAGATTCATGGCCTTGTACCCCATTATCATGTTGAGCCAGCTACAGCCTGGAGCCCCTTGATGGGTGTTGGGGTGGGCAGGGTCCTACAGGAAAGCCCTGCAGTACCTGCTTGAAATACAGTTAGTTAAATTTGAATTTCAGATAATTGAGTCATTTTGTTGTATAAATATGCTCTTAGCAGTTATTTTGCCAAATGTGGAAACCTATCAGTCATTACTATAAATCTTCTCTGTCTGCTGTCATATAACCAGGGGGTGTCTGCCCTGGGGAAGGAGGCCCTCTGAGACAGGTGATGATGGCTCTCATCAGTGCTGATCAATGGTGTTCTCCAGAGGCCTGGACTTCCACCCTGGCCCCACTTGCAGAGTGGGCGCTTCTGGAGGTCCTGCCCCAGAGCTGACATTCAGTCTGCTCTTTCTCCACCCAATGATCTCTATAAAACAGAAATCTGCTGGTGAAGCACAAAGTTTCCCAAGGCTGCTGCTTGCGGGAGTCTACCGCTTTGATTCTGTTGCTTTCCCAGGCCTGCTGCTTGGAGGAGTCTATGGCTTTGATTCTGTTGCTTGCTGGAGAGGAGAACTTGCTGGGTGTACTGCTCTGCTTGTTCACAGTGGTAGCCATGACTACCTTGAACACCTTCCCCAACAATAAAGAATGCTTATGCTATGATGGATGGGATAGCCAGTTTCCTCAGACAAACTGTGTAAAACCTTGCCATTTTGTGACAATTCACTCACTCTCCCTTCACCTCTCTGAGTGCCGTCTGATTTCTCTGGGAAATTGTGGTAACACTGGAACTTTGGAATTATGTGGTTTTAGAATCACCATGCTGCTGTTGAGTCCTAGCACCAAGCATCCTGCCATCTGCCTCCAACAGCCCTGGGCAGTCTTAGAGGCCTGTCGTCCTAGGTGAGAACACAGTGCGATTTTTTTAGCATGCAATGTTGTATTGTTAATTTAGATAACATTTGAACATTTTTGTAATGGAGCTAACATTGGTTACCACTGTATATGATCTAGAGGTATAGGATCACCCTTTCGCGAAAGGTGTTGTCAAACAACACACTCATCACCAATACACACAGTCTTCCATTGTGCTTCCTCCCTACTATCCTTTCCCCTCCCCCTCCTGCTACTGCCTTGGTAGCCTCAATTCTACAGTACAATATCTAGGATTTGTTATTGGTTTGACTTTATCTGACTCTTTGTCAGTGATACTCCACATATAACTGACATTCTCTTTCTGACATATTTTGCTTATCACAATTCCCTCCAGTTCCATCCATATTGTTGCAAATGGTAACAGTTTATATCTTTTTAAAAACTGAGTAGTGTTCTATAGTGTGTATACAACAGAGTTCCTACCCACTCATGTCTCTTTAGCACTTTGGTTGTTGTAGTCACCTACTTAAGTCTGTCTTCGCAAAATCGCTCATTGGGCCGCCCTGAAAAGCAATAGATTAAAACCAGAACTGCTCAGGGTGTGGGTTGGGCACCCTGCACTACTCTTCTTCCTGTCCATCCCACTTTTCTTTAAGGCTCCCAGGAATATGAGTGATGACACCATCCACTTGAACAAGCAAATCCTGACTGTCTCAGTGACTAATGCAAAGGGGAGGGGCCAGCACAGCTGCAAGCCTGCAGAGGAAGAGAACACTGCCATTGTGACTCGGGGGAGTCCACCCACCAACCCTGCAACACAGCAAGGTGTATCTCTCTCTTCACACTGCCAGCTCTCCTAGCTCTATTTCATTCTAATACCCCACCCTCCTTTTGCCTCTTCTTTCCATCAGTTCCAAGCAAGAATCATTTGAGGTCTGGCTTCCATTGTGTCTCATCCATAAAGACTTGTCACCTTTCACAGATTTCATAGAAAACCAAATCCTCCTCTGAAGCAGAAGGCTAATGACCCTCCAAGTTCAGCCCTACCACTTCTGCTCTAGAAAGCAGAGCATTTTGGGGAGTCGGGTCTGCAAGAGCACACAGAATTGAATACTTAACGAATATTAGAGAGCTAAAGGCCTTTAAAGGCTCTAAAGGCCCTTAGAGGGCTAAAACCATTGGGTCCACCCCCTGGGAGACAGTGATCATATAATCTATCTCCCATGTATGTATAGACATAACCAGGATTGTCCCTGGCAAACCGAGGCATACGTCTCCTTCCCACTGGGGTCTTATGTTCTTATCACTTGCCTTGCCAATTCAGGTAGGGTGCTTACTGTTTCTAGCTGCTGCTGTCCTTTCTCTTTGGGAAAATCCCAAGATGAATACCTGGGAAGGTCTCTTCCCCTGACTCAATAGAAAATGTAGGCAGCGAAGAGTTTGTATTGGGAACACACAGGAATTGAGAGTGAGCTCAGAAAAGTTTAGATGTTGGGGCAGCCACCTGATAGAAATACTTAAAAGCATTTTTTAATAATAGAAGCTCACTGAGTTTTCCTGGAAGATACTTCTTAAAAAGCTGAAAAATGTTATGAAATGATTTGTACACTCAGCATTAAGACAAAACCACAGAAATAACTTTCTTGTTTTTTTTTTTCTTTCCATGTGAACATTTTAGGAATTTTACTAGCTATAAATTTGTCTCAATTTGTTCATCTATGTCAAAATATTGCCAAAAACCACTATTTAACCATCAATAATTTCATTTCTTAATGGTGGATAGTTACTTGTTTTATGAAAACACCATCATTTACCTAGACCCTATCGAGTTATTGGGCATTTAGTCTATTCACTTTGATTCCAAGGAATACTGTGCACACAATGCAGAAAATGACAAACCTTTACCAGCATCTCTGTTTACTTTGTGACCATGGAAGCTGGATCAATAGTATTGTTATAGGACAAGGAGAGGGGCAGCCCAAGCCCCGCAAACCTGCCTATTCTAAATGGGTTCTGCCATCCGCCGCATCAACACAAAACACATGAGACTTTAATGGAAAGGATCTTTAATAAAACTAGGAAACAATACAGGTAAGGCAAAGAGTCTAGTTTCTAAATGAAGCACCCAAAGTTACCCGTCCCCTCGTGGGTAAAAGTCCATCCATATGGGATCGGCCCAGAGCAAGGCCCCAAAGCCTGCCACAAGTCTAAAGCATCTTCCAGTGGGGACCCACAGAAAAGGGTCAGAAACTACCAGACAAGCCCAGAAGGAAAAGAGCAAAATCAACACCAAGATAAAAGCTGCCATGGTCACCTCCCCACGGGTCTCACCCACATTTGTGTCACCCAGTCCCCGACCAAAAGACAAGCGCAGTTTCTTCACGTGTCTCTAGGTTCCATCCTGCTTCCTTCCTCAGTCTCTTCTGCCGCTTCTCCTCTCCCTGCTCAGCTCCACCCTCCCTTGGGTGGGGCAGGGAACCTCCCCCTTTCCTCAGGACCACCCTGTTACAATCCCCCCTTTTAATTTTTATTCCACCACTATTAAAACATTTTTAAATTTAGTGTCATATTCTACATTCACATGCAAAAAAATGATAGGAATGTCTTAACTACATTTTAGCCTATGTATACAAAAGCCATCACTCACATGGAATTGACATTTGCATCATCCCAGAAAATTCCTTGAGTCCTTTCCAGTCACCACTGATCCATCGCCTCAAGGCAACCATTACTTTGACTTCTGACACCATCGGTGGCCTATTCTTGACACTCATATAAATAGCTCATGGAGTATGCTTTCTTTGAGGTCTGGTGCTTAATCAATTTTTTTCTGGAAAAGCTTTTATTTATGCCTATGGAGGGAGGAAGGTGCAGTCTCTTTTGGTTGCCACCTTCCCCAGGGCAGTCAGGACCTAGTTCAGCTCCTCTCTCTTCCTCTTGATTCACAGTGCGTCCCCACCCTTTTCTTGACAAACTTGAGGGCCCGCTGGTCCTTGGAGACCTTGGGGCAACTCTAGCTCCACGCTCAGAGAGGGCAAAGCTGCATCCCTCCTGGATGGTTTCCTGCAGGACTGTGGTGTGCTGTTGAGGCACCCACACAGCTGCTGTGCCTCATTGCTCTCAGACACCTTGTGTCCCTGTCGGGGCCCCCAGCTACGGGGTAGTGTAGAGCCCTGGCTGCAGCTCTACCACGGCTGCCACCTGGAAAGGGTAATCAACTCTTTTAAAAATCGGTGTAGTTTTTTTAATTGCTCAGTAACATTCCATTGTGAAAATACACCACATTTTATTTCCCTGTTCTCCTATTGACAGGTTAATGGGAACTGTGGTTGTAATGATAGAGTTACTACAAGCACTTGTTTAAAAAAATTTGTGCACATCTGGACCAGTTTGTCTGAAATATTTACTTAGAAGTAAATAAGATAAGTGTGTGGTTTATTTTCATTTGCAAATGCTGAACAGATTTCCAAACTTCCCACTACCAATGTTGAAGAGCTGTTTGCTCTGCATTCCCACCAACAGTTGGCATTATAAGGTTTTTCTATTTTTGCCATTTTGGTGTGTTTGTGGTAGTATTCCATTTTGTGTTCAACTGCATTCCCCTGATTACTTATGATGTTGAGCTCCTTTATTTATTTTTTTTTTAAGATTTATTTATTTATTTATACAAGCACTGGGTACAGTCAGAAGCGTGGGAAGGCGAGAAAATTCACCAGAGCCAGAACAGGGAGCAGAACAGGCAAAAAGAAGGACTGAAGTACACTGCTGAGGGGAGCAGTGGGTGCAGCAGGAGAGGTCTGTCTCGCCATGTGGGACCCTTGCCTGTGGCCAGGGATGGAAGCGGCGCTGCAGAGGCCGCGGGCAGCTTTGCAGCCCAGCGCTCAACCTCTGTGCCACGAGGGGAGGCCTGTTGAGCTCCTTTTTGTGTGTTTATAAGACTATTCAGATATCTTCTTTTGTAAAATACCTATTCGAGTCTTTTTGGGGAGCAATTTTAAAATGAATTATTTTATTAATTTATAGGAGTACCTTATATAGATTGAATTAAAGTGTATATATGTAATATGAAATTTTTTCTCCTGGTCAGAGACTTACCTTTTTCTTTTTTACTTTATTAGTACTATCTTTTGATGAATAGAGACTTTCATTGTTGATGAAATCCAATTTTTATGGTTACGTGTGCTCTGTTTAAAAAGTCATTTCCACCTCAAGTTACAAAAATATTCTTCTAGATATTTTCTAGTTTTAGATTTTATGTTTAGGTCTATAGACTACCTTAAATCAATTTGTGTCTATAGTGTGAATTGAGAGAATTTTTTCCCCTGTATAGATATCCCTATTCTCCTGTTGACAGGTTGACGGGTGTCAATAGGAGAATAGGAATGGTTGCTACAGCATCATTTCTTTGAAAGATCTGTTTTTCTTCATTGTTTGACAACGTCTCTTCAAAATCAGATCATCAAAAGATGAAGAAAATCTATATTATATATAATCATATGTGAACTTATATACACATATAATTGATAATATTGTGCATATGTACACATCTCCATGTACATAAATATGTACATACATATAGTCAATTATATGTCTCAACTTGACAGGGCCATGGTATGACTTAAATTATTATTGCCTGAATAGAACAAAAACCCGATCCTCCCTGATGACGGCTAAATGGCAATTTTCTAATACCACCATTTCCCCTGTGTTTATTGTTAACATTTTACTTTACAGCAGATGTTTTACCTCTCTGACTTTACCCAATGAATTGAAATAAATTATTTTGCATTTTTAACATTTGTGTTTATTTGAGTTACCAAATTTCTCCAACTTTGGTCAGTGTGACTCTGTTCAAATTGGTTTGTATATATTCTTGACATATCTCCAATTGCCACCCACTACTGCTATTTTCTCCTCCCCAGCCAAGTTGTTATCCCATGAAAAATAAGAGCACATAGTTCAAAATTATATAAACATACATTTTATTTAATAATTCCATGATTGTCTAATAATATTTTTTATTTATTTATGCATACAAGCACTGGGGTACAGGCCAGAAGGGTGTGTGTGTGGGGAGGGAGGGTGAGAGGATTCACCAGAGACAGAGTGGGGAACCGAACAGGCAGATTGATTGAAATACACTGCTGAGGGAGCAGCGGGTGAGTCAAGAGAGGTCTGCTGCACCATGTGGTTCAGCTTCTGGACCAGGGATCGAACTCATGCTGCAGTGGCTATGCATAGCTTCATAGGTTGGATCTTAACCCCTTGCATCTAACAATATTAACTTCAACACTACATAGCACATACTGCACTTATAAGAGCACTAATTTTCTAAGAATACAGAAGAGTTTCAACAATGCAAGTGTGAAGATTCAGGCCTTCAGGGTTCGGGATCTCCTGTTCAGGATCTTTATGGCATTCTGGACCCACTTCTCCTTGGGGTCTGCACAGACCAACTTGGATGACTTGGTCTTGAAGCTGTGGGAGTGAGGACACAGTTAGAGGGAATATCTTCACATTTGATGCAGTAGTGTGACCTGTCAGCCCAATAACCTGAATAAACCTTTCTTCCTGGGTGAGGGCCTGGGCTGGGACAGGAGGAAGAGGAAGAATGGAAAAAGAGGGCTCAAATCATCATACTGCTCTTTGCTGTGCCGGGGGAAGCCCTCCAGCTCCTGGCTGAAGGAAGTTGGGTGATCTGATCAAGTTCTTAGAAGGAAGCCTGGATAGGGTGTAGATCCGCCTCCTGACTCAGTTTCTCTAAGGTAATAAAGGTCCTTTGGAGTATGTGGCATGTTCATAGACTCATTTGAGTGTGAATCCTGACCTCTTGTCCTTCCATGGAAAGAACTCAGATGGAACTTTTGACTGAGGCATTAGGCATGACCCACTCACATCACAGCTTCCAGGGGACAGTGGCTGTTGGTGATCCTGGTGTAGCTTTCCAACCTCTGGGTGGGGATCTTCCTGTTGATCACAGTGAAGCAGCAGTTGAATGGAATGTCAGCTTCAGCTGAAAAAAAAAAAAAAAAAAAACAGTTTGTGAAGAATAAGAGTTAGGATGTGTCATAAGTAAGTATTTTTAATGGGAGGAGAAGGTGGAAGACAAAGCAAACACATGTGAGTTTCACCTAAAATCTTCCACCACCAAGTTCCGATCTTATGGATAAAGTGTTGCCTGAAAGTCAGTTTCCTCATTTGAACTATAGGGACCTTTGTTTTTGAGTGAGAACGGAGAAATTTTGGGTGACTAGACTATTCCATGTAGTGTCATGAGAAACACTTCTGACAATGGGATGATAAATTCCAAGACCATACTTCCCAGACATTTGTCCCATGCATTTTTGCATCAACCCGGTCCTTACTTCTGTGTCACATCACCAGACAATGTGAGGGTTACTGAAGCAGTGGCTGTGTTGAGCATCTCTTTCCAAAAGTGGTGTCAGGAAAGATCAAGGGGACTGGTCTTGGTGGCCTGGGCAACCAGTTCTGCCACTGTCTCTTGCTAACTGAGCTGGCTTTCTTGTCATTTCCCCTCTTGGTTTCACTTTCTCTATTTTTGTCTCAATGCAATGGAATGAGATACTCATTCTGGGATGTCAGTACCTGCAGTGATCAAAATGTTAAACCTTAGGAAGAGAGGAGACTCACCAGGTTGAGCGAGCACCTGGGTGCTGAGGGCGACAGCCGTGAGCAGCAGGCACAGGATGGTTATGGAGACCTTCATGCTGGAGAGTGATGATGGCAGCTATAGCCTTGGAGTTACTAGTTTCAGAGCTTGTCTCAGGCTCTCTGCAACTCTGTTCTCTCTGCCTGCCTTTTATAGAGATCCACACATAGGCAGGTTCATGATCAAGGACGATGAAGTAAGAGCCTGAATGTGCTGAGTTGGGACCAGATCCTGGGGTGATTTCCCAGCAGAGAGAGGAAGCAGTGCTATTTTCAGTTTGTATGGACTGTGCAGCAGAGGCGGGAGTGTGTGTGGTTGCCGCAGCAAAGCGTGGGAAGTGACCTCACTGGACTATGAAGAGCTATGATTTCTTTGAAATGGAAAACTGCCTGTCCAAAAGGGAAAAAGAAGTGGAGGTCATAGTGGAGTGGAGAGAACAAGGGCCTGACCCCCTCCAGGAGGTCTGGGATGGGGCCCTAGAGCTTTGCCTGTACTCTCTCTTAGACTCTGGTCCCTGCCATCCTGAACTAGTCAGACCCTTTAGACACCCACATAGTTATCAAGCACAAGGTAGTTTGATGGAGCCTTGGCAGAATGGAGGAACTCAGGGAACTTCAAGTCCTAATGCCCTGGAATCTTAGTGTCGTGGACCATAGGAACTGGATAGCACCTGCTCTCTTTGTACAGTGATCATTTACCAATATTTTATGTAGGCACTAAAGTTTCCTTCCATGTGGAATCATATGGAGCAGCCCATTATTTCCTATAGCATCAAGAGGAACAAATGTGTTTGAGAAAGGACTCCCAACTTGGGAAGAACTGACATCTTAACAATATTCATTCTATGGTCTCACTCATAGCAGGAATTTAGAAAACCTAAATAAGGGACCAGGAAAAAGATTAATTAATACAAAGTAAAAATCAAAATCAAGCAACTATAAACCAGAGACACACTATGGCAGGGAGGGGAGGGAAGAGGAACAACTAGGTCAAAATAAGGGGGGGTGCAATTGTATGGGGAATATAACCAAAATGAAAATGCATACATTGTGCAAAAATGAAAAATGATGTAAGAATTATATAAAATAAAATATTAGTTAAAAAAATAAAATCAACAGTAAAACAAACAAACAAACAAACAAACAATATCCATTCTTCCTCTTAGGAACCAGTGACTATTTCTCCATTTATTTAAACCTTCCTCAATTTTTTGTCAGATTTTCTTCAATTTTTTTTTCCGATTTCCTGACGTAGCTTGCGTGCATATTTTCTTAGATTTGTTTCTAAATCTATTCTTTTTTGTGCTAATACAAAAAGCACTGTTATTAATTTAAAACTATATTTTTTCATTGGTGTTTTATAGTTCATTGATGAACTTGCATGATTCACCATGTATTCTGCAGTCTGCTATACTTGCTTTTAGCAGCAGAATTCTGTTTGTTTGTTTTTGGTCAATTTATTTGTGATTTTTCTTCTTGGACAATTTTGTCTTCAACAAAGAAAAGATTGCTTCTGCCTTCCAAATCTGTGTATTTTTTCATTTCTTTATCTCATCTCACGGATTACCTAGGACTTCCAATGTGATGTTGAAGAGGAGTGAATAGGAGAAACATCTTTGACTTGTGCCCAGCCTCACCATTAATTATGGTGTAGGTCTTTTGTAGATTTTTTTATTAAGTTGAGGAAGTTTTTTTTTAATCATGAATGGGTGTTGAGTTATATCAAGTGCATTTTATTCATATCAATATAAGATACTATTATTCTTTAGTCTGTTGAGATAATGAAGTACATGAATTGATTTTTGAGTGTTTAAACAGGCTTGCTTTCCTGGGATGAACATACTTGGCTGTGGTATATAATTATTTTTTTATGTTGTTAGATTATATTTGCTAATATTTTGTTGATGTTTTTGCTTCACTTGGTTTTTTTTTGGTGTTTTTTTTTTTGTAGTTTTCTGTCTGTGTTCTTTTGTTGTAATGTCTTTTTCGGGGTAGTGAGGACATAATAGTATGAATTAGGAATTAATTTCTGCTTCTATTTTCTGGAACAAATTCTGAAGTTTTGGTATCATTTGTTCCTTAAGTGTTTGGTGGAATTCCATGCTCTGTTTTAGAGGTTTATTGATTATCTTTTCCATTTCTTTAATAAATATAGGCATACTCAGGTTACATACTTCTCCTTGTCTGAGTTTTGTCTTCTCCTTTGCCTTGCATCTTTCAAGAAATTAGTTCATTGTTTTCAAGTTGTCAAATTTGTGGGAATAGCATTGTTCATAATATTACTTTATTATACTTCTAATGCCCATGGACTCAGTAGTGATGACCCTATTTCATTTCTGATAGCAGTAGTTTTGTCTACTCTCTTTTATGTTATTGTTACCCTAGAGAGAGTTTTATTCATTCTATTGCTTTTTTTCTGATGTATGTATTCAATGTAATAACTTTCCTCCTAAGTGTTACTTATGCTGCATCCCACATTGGTATAAATTGCATTTTTTTAGCTTTTTTTTTAAAAGATTTTATTAATTAATTAATTTATGCAAGCACTGGGTACAATCAGAAGTGCAGGAGGGTGAGCGAATTCACCAGAGCCAGAGCGGAGAACAGAACAGGCAGACTGACGAAACACACTGCTGAGGGGAGCAGCGGGTGTGGCAGGAGAGGTCTGCTCGCCATGTGGGACCCTCGCCGGAGGCCAGGGATCGAACTGGTGCTGCAGAGGCTGCGGGCAGCTTTGCAGCCCAGTGCTCAACCACTGCGCCACCAGGGGAGGCCCATAAATTGCATTTTTATTTTTACGTAATTTAAAATATTTTGAAATTCTTTTGAGACTTCTTTGAACTTTGTTATTAAGAAGCATATTTTAGGGACCACCCTGGTGGCGCAAGGAAGTAAGCACTGCACTATGAAGCAATCTATGGCCTTTGCAGCATGAGTTTTATCCACAGCCAGCCAGGGAGCAACCCACATGGCGAGGTAGACATCTACCTCTCCTGTCTACCCTGATGCTCCCCTCAGTAGTGTGTTTCAGTCAGTCTGCCTGTCCTATTTCCCTCTCTGTCTCTGGTGTGTCCTCTTAATCCCCGCATCTGTGGCTTGTGCCCCAGCTCCTGTATATATAAATAAATAAATCTTTTTTTTAAAAAAAGAAGTATATATATATTTTTATAGATTTATTATTTATACAAGAACTGGGGTACAGGCCAAATGCATGGGACAGTAAGAGGATTCACCAGAAACAGAGCAGGGAACAGAACAGGCAGACTGAAGAAATACACTGTTGAGGGGAGCAGCGGGCGAGACAAGAGAGGTCTGCTGTGCCATATGGGATTCCTGCTGTCAGGCTGGGATTGCACCTGCACTGCAGAGACTGTGGACAGCTTCACAGTGTGGCGCTCAATCGCCTGCACCACCAGGATGGCCCAAAAGAAGTATATTTTTTAGAAAGTGTAGGCCCAGATGTTTTCACAAATGAGTTCTACCAAATGTTCAAAGATGAACTGGTGGACCTCCGCTGGTGGCACAGCGGTTGAGCACTGGGCTGCGAAGCTGCCTGCAGCCTCTGCAGCGCCAGGTCTATGCCCTGCCGCTGGCGAGGGTCCCACATGGCGATAGACCTCTCCTGCCATGCCCGCTGCTCCCCTCAGCAGAGCATTTTGTCAATCTGCCTGTTCTGTTCCCTGCTTTGGCTCTGGTGAATTCTCTCATCCTCCTGCGCTTCTGACTATACCCAGTGCTTGTATAAATAAATAAATAAATCTTTGAAAAAAAACAAAAAACAAGATGAACTGGTGCCTACACTATGAAGAAAATTCTATGGGGACTATACCTGAGGTGGGGTCGGGGGGAAAGAAACAGTATTTAATAATGAACAATGATGTAAAATATATATACATAGAAACAAAAAAAATGTGAAAGATAGAATACTACCAAGTTTATTTTACAATGACAACATTACACTAATACCAAAAACAAACAAAGACAGCACAAAAAAGAAACTAAAGACCAATCACCCTAATGAACACAGATGCAAAAATACTCAACAAAATCTTAGCAAACCAAATCCAACAAAGCATCAAAAGGATAATACATCATGACCAAAAGGGATTAATACCAGGGAAAAAATGATGTTTGAACATCTGAAATCAATTAATATAATCCACCACATCAACAAAAAGAAAAATAAAAACCATATGATCATATCAATAGATGTTGAGAAAACATTTGATAAAGTCCAATATCCATTCATATTGAAAGCCCTTGAAAAATCTTAGGGTGAAGGGACATACCTGAACCTGATAAAAACCATATATGACAAAACCACAGCCAATATTATTCTCAATGGCGAAAAATGAAGGACTTTCCTTAAGAGTAGGAACAAGGCAAGGGTTTCCTCTCTCACCACTGCTCTTCAATATAATACTGGAAGGCCTAGCCAGGGCAATAAGAAAAGAAAAAGACACATAAGGAATCTAAATAGGATTAGAAGAAGTAAAACTATGACTATTTGCAGACGATATGATAACATACATAGAGAACCCTAAAAACTCCACAGAAAAATTTATCAAAATAATCAACCAGTTTAGTAAAGTAGCAGAATACAAAATCAACACAGAAAAATCAGTAACCTTCCTATACACAAGCAATCTATCTGAAAAAAATGAAATCAAAAGAATGATCACTTTTATAATTGAAACAAAAAAAATCAAATACTTGGGAATAAACTTAACAAAAGAGGTGAAGGACCTATACAAAGAAAATTATAAAACACTGTTAAAAGAAATAGAAGATACAAAGAAATGGGAAGACATCCCTTGCTTATGGATTGGAAGAATTAACATTATTAAAATGGCCATCCTGCCAAAAGCAATTTACAGATCAATGCTATTCCAATAAAATTCTCATTGACATTCTTCAAAGAAATAGAATACTGATGAAATTCATATGGAACCACATAAAACCACAAACAACCAAAGCCCTGCTGACGAAAACAAAGGAGAATGGAGGTATCACACTTCCAAACTTCAAACTGTACTACAAAGACATGATAATTAAAACAGTTTGGTACGGCAACAAAAACAGACACACAGACCAGTAGAACCAAAAAGAAAGCCCAGAAATGAAACCACACATATAAGGGCAACTAATCTTTGACAAAGGAGCAAAGAATATGCAATGAAACAAAGATAGTTTGTTCATTAA